CCTTCAGATATACTTTCCCCTGTGTCAAAGAATGGGGCATTTGAGGAGAGCGGTAAAAAGAAGAGAAGAAAGGATTAGCCTCGCCATCAAAACAGCAAAAGCAAAAAACAAAACAAGCCACTCATAACCTCTAATGCCACCCATTTAAAAAGTAATAACTAAATACAATAAATACATTGACAGATGATTATTCCCAACACAATTGGATCAGCTTACCTATTAACAGTTCTGCCAAGAATAGATTAAAAAAAAAAATCAGTTAACTATACTCCATGTCTTACTCATCTTGGTTTCAGTGAATGCACAACCCAAATTATCAAGAATTGCGGCTAAATTGGTGTACTGTCACTCAGGTCCAATTTAAAAGGACAAAGCAGAAAAAGAAGACAGGAGAGAGGAATATTGGGGGGACGGGATAGCTTCAGGGTATAGTTAATGATAGGAAAGAAAGGCTTTAATGCCTGTATCACTGGTTTTAATTTGTTTCAGGTCAGTAGCGGTAGGAAGTCATTAACATATGATAGCTATTCCTTTTCCTGTGAGTTTACTGTCTCAGCCTTTGTCCTAATAAACTGATATCCACATTACAAAAATCGCCAGCCTAATTGGCACCTTTGTGACAGCAACAGTACTCAAACCACTAGATATGTAGGCAATCCACCTCGGTATGTGCTGCTTTTGTACCAACCCTGCTGAAAAGAATATGAATAGCAGGTGCTTTGTGGATTTCAACCTTGAACTACATCCCTCCCCACCCACAATCTGAGGAGCATTGGGTAGGTTGGAATGGCACAAGAAATCCCTCTGAAACACTGGTTGGGTATTTATCTCAGGGTTCAGCAAATTAATGGAGCACTTTCAACAAAAATTAAACTTGTGCAAGGCAGCAAGGAGCACTTCAAAACACTTTACAAAATGCAAATGGTTCCTTATTGTCCAGCTCTTTGTGCAATTAAGTTAGGCAATTAAATTATTCATCAGGGCAACGTGGGGTCACTCTTTTTTCCTTCTTCATTTTGCGGGTGTGCTTCTGGCACAATGGATGACAGCGGAGTTAGCTCTCAACAGATCTGTTTGGTAATGGCTTGTTCCATCTCTTTCTATTGCAAAACGCTGTTCAAGATAACACCCAAGAATATAGTACTGAAGCAGGAACAAGAAACAAAGAGTCCAGATTCTAAAGAGACAAAAGACTAGGAGGAAGAAAGTATATGGTAGGGTTATTTCTGATTTTCAGGCATTAAACAAAAGCAGCTCCTCCAATCCTAAGCATATTTATTCAGAAGTCCCACTGATTCCAAGCATGCATGCTTAGGATTGTGGCAAATTCTCAGTAGACCCAACCGGTTTCTCAGAAGGGGTTCTGAGCACTGCATTGTGAGCATGGAAAACACAATGCCATCGGGCAGAGTTTGTTGAGAATATTTCTTATTGCAGTCCCCAGGGAAGGTTCCCAAAAGCATTACTCCGCTATGTTCATTTGAGCGGGGGCAAGTGCTGGAGAACTGCCTAATGGATTTTCTTTGGGAAGGAGCTAGAGGGGAAACCAACCTGTCATGAAAAGGTGTCTGGAAGTGAGGTGCAAGGCATTCTCGCCTACATTCCCACGTGAAATCAGTACCAGGAAGAAAAGTGTTACAGGGCAAATGTACGAAGGGGAAAAGTAGACTACCTAGAACCAACACGTACCTCACCGTCTCTTGCTGTCTGTTGCCATGACAGTTGCAATTGTCAGCCCAGATACTGAAGAAGCTAACTGTTCACTGTTTAATGAAGCGAAGTATTCCTAGTAATTTTCCTTCAAAGGACATTAATCCCGGGGTCCAAACTCTGGCTAGATTCAGCAGAGCTTGTGTTTGCTGGCAAATGGAGCACTGAAAAGCATTGTTCCATTCAGTTGACTTGGAAGAATCTCTTCATGTATACGACAGCTAGTTTCTCTATATATAACTCCCCAATGGCTTCTACCACTGGATCAGTAGTAACATGAATACTCTGGGAAGTGGAACTTTTAAGAGCATATGACATACACTTTAACTGATGGCTACAATGTGCACTCACTTGTCTTAGAAACAAAAGTTGGTAGCCTGAATAAAAATGAGTGGAATAAACCAACTGAACACTAATCCTATGGACATTTATTTGCAAACTAATCTCCTTGAGATCAAGAATGATTTGCTTCTGAGGAAGTATCCACAGGATGCTCAATACAGGTAAGGAAGGGTCTGGTGATGAGAACCACAAGGGTTGTGTCTGCACCAATGACAACTCTTACATTGCATGAGTACTGACATATAGTAACCCCCGGACTGGTGTTGAAATGAAGTGAATGAGTACTGGCATACAGTAACCCCCAGACTGGTGTTGGAACAGCACAACTATCTGCACTGCTGCAAAAGTGCACTGTATTCAGGCATTGTGCACTTCCCCGGTTAGGTACAACCAAGCTTCCAGCCTCCTTGCTTCTTCTCTTTTCTTAGCCTAGGAAAAACACTGCTGCAGGCCTGTGTTAAGAGCCCTGCAGGGCAGCTGCACAGATTCCTGAAAACAAACCAGCTACCAATGTGGAGCTTGAACTCAGTGGCCAAGTTTCAACAGTTGAGGAAGAGACAATGCAAAGCTGTCCCAGGCCACAGGGTTCAATCTTTCCTACCTAAGACGGACTATTTTTTCTCAATCAGGGGTGCCAATCGAGCAGATGATGTGGTACATGCATACCATTTGGATGGCAGTGCTTATTAACTTGAGGGGTGCGGTGCTCAAATGTTTTATTGGGGGAACCGAAGGGGCCTTGCCTCCTAGGAGTTGACTTATGCTTTCAATGTGCTAACAGTAATACTTTGCCTCTTTTAGAATTATCTCCTGTGACTGCGTTACGCTAAACTAATAAACAAATTCAGCTGTTAAGGGGGGAGAAACTGCTGAGATGATAGATTTCTGCATTGAAAAGCCCTTTGTTGATGTATTGTTATTTAGAAGTGGGGGGGGGGGGAGAGATAATTATCCTGCTGTTGGAATCTGTTCTACTAGTTGAGGCTAAGCCTGTTTAACAAGCAGTAAACATAGTGGAGGAAGGGCCAGCGAAGGAGAGAAGCACCCTAGAGCATTCTGTGGGCTGGTTCTGGTCTGTTGGCATTTACACAGAGCATATTTTACCTTAGGAAGGGGGAAGGGTGGCCTTTGGTGAGGCAAGCAGAGCCTAACGGGTTTTAAATTAAATTAACAACAACAACAACAAACCCCGCAGGTGAAAACAAACTGGTCCCTTTAGGAAAAGAAACGTAAAAACCAAGGAAATCTGTTATGATTTACTGCAGTGTAAAATGAAGGGTGTTTGTTTGTTTGTGTTTTGTTTGCACAGCAGCTTCACTGAATTTTCAGATATACAGCAGATACCCTTCTTGGGCACAAATGAGGTAACTCTCCTCTTCCCTCCAGGTAGCGAAGCCATTTCTAAAATAAATATGCTTCTCTCTTCATTGCACTTTTGATAATTGGATTACCATCAGCAAGAGGCTTGGTGGGTAAGAAATACATGTAGAAAGCTAGGATCAAATAGACTTAGCAAGCATCTCAGAGTCAGTACTAGGAAGTCTCCAGCTCAGCTAGTCTTCTTGATTCTGAATTGCTGTCAATCTCAAAGGTGTTAATGTATTAAAAGGGAGGGGGAGGCAGAACAGGCAGTTTTGGTCTCTTTCTTCTTTGAGAACCTAGTTGTTTTCAGAGGGCAACCATTTCATGCAAAAGGATACATTTCTGGCTGCTGTAGTAAGTGCCAAATTCTCCTTGACCTCAATGTTATAAATATGAATGATTAATAATAATGATTTTATAATATGAATCCCCAATTGGAATAGGAAAAACTTAGCCATCTTTCTCTTTGTTTGCCCTTCCACAAAATTTACTGCTGCTGGGGCACATTTCTTGAAATTTATCAGTGAAAAAGAAATTGCCAGATTAATGATATAGTCTAGGGTACCACTGAAAGCTGTCTATCATTATCATTATTTAATAAATTTATATACCACCCGATACCTGCAGGTCTCAGGGCAGAAGTTTCATTCAATGCAAGGTGAATCTTAACCCACATTTATATTTCTGACACAGTGATGTGCATATTTACAGTTGTACAACAGTGGCTTCAAGCACCTCTGCCATTAGGAATGTAACAATAGTTTCACTGGATCAGGCTAGTGGCCCATCTAGTCCAGCATCCTGTTCATAGTGGGCAGGCAGATGCCTTTGGGAAGCCCACAGGCAGGACCTGAACACAACAGCACTTTCTGCTCCTGCAATTTCCAGCAACAGGTATTCAGAAGCCTACTATATCTGACCATGGAGTAGAGCCAGTTAGTCTCAACCTCTATGAATTTGTCTAAAGCCATCCAAGTTGGTGGCCATCCCTGACTGCTGCGAAAGTGAATTCCATAGTTTAATTATGCTCTGTGTGAAGAACTGCTCTCACTTCTTTGTCTGTCCTGGTACATTACTCATCTAGGCATCTGTGCAACTTGCCGCTAGTGGTGCCTGGTCAGGTGGAAGGCAGGGAGGTGAACAGTAGGTGGCGCAAGAGCCAACGACAGGCAGAGCCAACTAATTATTGTGTTGTCCTCATCATTCTCCCTACAAAGTCAAAACTGAGACTAAGGAGGAGAAAGCTGCTCCCAGGATTGGTAGTTGTAAGGAAGAAGGCAGGTGGGGATTAGCAGAGGGCAGACTGAGGTTGTTGGAGGCAATGCTTTATTTGCCCTAAAGCACTAGTCTCCACTGCTGCTACTTCCTGGACAACCCACCCTTACTATCAGAAAAGCCTGGCACAATGTTGCACAGGATAGGTTTACCTACATCTGCCAGGGGCAGAATGCCCTAAGGAAACTGACCGAGAGGACCCGCCTCTTCCCCATCCCTGAAAGTGTTGTACACATAGAATCATATTGTAGAGTTGGAAGGGACCCTGAGGATCATCTAGTCCAACCCCCTGCAATGCAGTGATATGCAAGTGTCCCATACAGGAATCGAACCTGCAACCTTGGCATTATCAGCACCATGCTCTAACCAACTGAACTACCCAGACTTGGAATTCCCCAATACAGCCTTGTGCCTTCATAGCAATTCCAGGCACTCTAATGATAGGTCAGATAGATCCATGCGACCAGACCGCAAATCCAATATTTATTTAGCACTGTTTAGCATTATTACTCATTAAATCATTGTGTAATATTGCCATGATTATAGAATGGCATGCATGAGAAAAGCACTGCAGCATTTATAATATTCCATGTATTTATTTTCTTCATTTCAAAAGCTCTGTGTTGGTTCCATTGGGTTCCCAGTGGCTACTGGTTGTCTGCACTCGCTTCCCTTCAACAATGCAAATTACATTAAGAGCTAGTGCAGCATAATGCTAATACGAAGAGCCTGAGCTGCAGACCTGGAAGTCTTCTTCGAAAACGTGCCTCTGACATAATATGATTTTGTTATTTCTTACGGCCATTGGAGAAAGCAAGGTGCTGCCCAGTGTAAAACAGAATGAACAATGACAATGCCAGCATGTTGTTTAAATAAATGGAAGGAAGGAAGGAGGAGGTAAGGAAAGACAACGGAGGAGGCTTATTTGGGAATAAGCCCTACTGAACACAGTGGGAGTTACCTCCAAGAAAACATGCATACCAATTGCATTGCATATTAAAATCTCAGCAGGCCAGGTAAAACAGAGATGTTTTAAGGCGACACTTAAAGAAGTGTGTGGACTGAATGCTGTCACTAATATGAGAAAAATGATACAGCCTTGCCAGGTTATTGGAAAGAATTATTGAAATCTGCCTGCAAAATGTTCTGCACGGAGAACTCTAGAAGCACCATATAAATACGGCCTGTCACGTGCTTCCCAGTCTATTCCCTGCATAACAGATCATACGGGACTGGAATATGCGCCAGAGTGTGGGAGGAGGATTCAGTATAAATGCGTTGCAGTTATAGCTGTAGTATTGATCACTGAAATGGGGGTGGAGAAGGGGGGGGGGGAAGAGACGCTGCCGGAGACAAACATAAAAACACCACCACCTACTCTGCGCTCCTCTCGCCCCCTCGCGAAGAAGGGCAGCCAGATCTGCGCACATGGAGAGCAGCAGAGGCCCGGCGGCGGCGGCGGCAACTGCGCCCGGCGGCTTTCCTTCGCGCCTTTCCCGCGCCCCTCCTGGCTCCGGCTGCTGCAACAGCCTGCTCGTGCGCTCCCAGAAGGCGCTGGGAGAGGAAAGAAGCAGGGTCCTCTCCCGGGCATATCATCCCAGTCAGAAAACTGAGCAATGGTGGGGTCACAAAGCCCACCGAGCCTGATTTGTTTGTTTATGGGGTGGGTAAGAGGGCCGCGAATAACCTCGCCTCGAGGGGTGGCCGGGCAGGGCGGGAAAACGCGCTCCCTGAGGAGCCAGCCGTGTTATGCAGGGGCTGGGAGAGAAAAATAATAATAATAATCTGTAATTCCAAAGAGAAACCTGCCGAGATGCTGAGGGGAGTCAAATTAGTATGAATAATGCAAAGCCCCTCACTGGATGGGTGGGGAGAGCGGCTGGGCAAAGGAGGAGAGGGCGGGCCGGAGTCGTTGCTAGGCTGTTGCCGGTGGCTCGGAGCAGAGGTCTCGCCCTCGGCACGAGGAGCCTCAGGTCACCTTTCAAGAGTGAAATAAAGCAGGTCTCTCGTGAAAGGCCTCCCTCGCAGCTTAACTTTCCTTCAACTCTCCGCCCCTCCAGCGCCCTTGGTGCCTCGAGCCGGAGGGCATGCCGGTCCCGCGCGGCTCTATTTCTCCCGCCTCAGTCCGCCTGCTGTGCCCCGCGCCCCACGAGCTGCGCTGGGGCGCCCCACTGCGCCGACCCCCCTTCGAAGCCCCCTTGCCCGCGTCCATTCCGCCTTCGCCAACCAACGCACGCAGCGCCAGCAACCGGTATCTTTGCGCCGGTGCCAGCCATCCAAACGGCCTCCCGAGAGTGGGAGCGCGGGCAAAACGAGCCGCACGCTTTGCTTTCCAAGGAGAGCAGCCGAGGCACGAATGCCCTCGCCAGCCACCTCGCCCCACAGGGGACTTCAGCCCCTTAGCAAGAACAGCAGCGTGTCCCTCAGCACTCCAGAAACGGCCCCTTTCCACTGACCCCCACTCTCCCTGCGCAGTCCCAGGAAAGAGCCCTGTTTTCTCGCCCCGCCGTCCCTCCGCGCGCGCGCGCGCAATACAGCGCGCCTGCCTGCCCGCCTCATGCGTCGCACTCGCGAAGTTTGGCGCTCTTGCCTGGTCCCCCAACCCCCACGCCGTCCTTCCTTCCCTCCCTCCCTCCCTCCCTCCTTGCCTGCCTCCCTCCCTCCGCGCTAGTTACTGTTGCCGCGCTTCTGCTGCCGCTGCTGCCAGCGACAGGACAAAGGCACATTAACACGTGATGGCAACTGAGCTTCATAAATGGGACCAGGAGGGAAAGAAGGGGTGTGCGGCGAGGCAAGCTGTTGAGGAGGGGAGACGTCGGGCAACAAGCCGCAGCAGCCGAGGAGGAGGAGGAGGAAGAGGAGGACGGGGCTTCGGGGAGGGCGCTGGGCACAGTTCCTTTTCCTCTCAGAGCTCCAGGAGCAGCGCAGAAGAGAAGCACATGGCGAGCGGCGCGCGAGACCGAGGCCGGCGCCAGACCTGAGGGGCCGAGAGGAACGCGGAGCTGCTCCCCTCTCCTCTCGCCTTCCTCCTACCTTCGCGCCGCCTTCTCTTCCCCCACCCCTCCCCGTCCAGCCCTCCGCTCCCCTCCCCTCAGTCAGTGCCGCCGGGCGGAAAAGCTCGCCCCGCTCGCTGCCCGCCGAGGGTCAGCCTTGGAGCAGCAGCGCGCGCCTCCACCGCGAAGGGAGCGCGAGGCGCGAAGACCCAGCGCGCGCTCTCCAGACCACCCCCGCTGCGCCGCCTCCCCTCAGCCGAGGGAGCTGCGAGAGACGGGGCCATGTGAACGTGGGGAAAGGTAAGGACGGGGGGGGGCGGGCAGCTGCTCTTTGGGCAAGGAGACCCGGGCGGGCAATGGCTATAGGTCAGCCAGGGGCAGCGGGGGGGGGGGGCGCCGTGTTGCTGCCCGCTTCGCCGCGCGCGCAGGGCTGGATGGAGAACCCCGCCTGGAACTCAGACCCGTCCGCCCAGGACAGTTGCGCGTGGAGTCGCGCGGTGCCCCGAATTTCAGGGGCGAGCTCCTTGAAAGGCGAGGACCTCGCTGGACTCGCCTCAAGGTGCCGGTTTCAAGGTGTTCCTCTGGGTAGACGCAAGCCCTTGAGAGTTCAGTCCTCAGAGCAAAATCTCCACTGATTCCTCTGTCCGGACTGCACCTTTGGATCCCGGTCATCAGCAGACGAATCGGTGGAAGTTGCTGCCAAGTAGCGTTATCCGAAATGCCAATTAATGCGTGATCTGTTTCCCCAGGGGATAGATTTTTGGAAAGCTTTACTTTAGGAAGATCAAGTAGTTTGTGTGTCACAGATAGGTAGCTCACTCTGTGTGTGAGAGAGAGCGAGAGCGAGAGCGAGAGCGCATATGTTTATATACCTATATCCCACCCAACCGCTTTCTAATTATTGTTTGTATAGTATCTGTATTGTTGTAACTATGAATCTTTTGAGAGCCGCCTACAGCAATTCAGGTATAGTACCAGATGCATAAATGCTCTGCACTCTCAAACTGGGCAATTTTCCTACAAAGGATCAGTGTAGGCATCTGTTTAAAAAATGGTCTGAAACGGAAAATCATAACAATTCATTGGGGCTTGTATGAAATACACAGCACCTGATGAACCAGGAAAGTTTTTATTTCTGTATTTGTGGCCCCAGAATATAAATGTCCACTCTAATGTCCTTTGTTAGGGAAAGAAAATAACCAGTCTGGAATTATACAGGAGCATAAAAAGGCAGAAGGTGACCTCAATTAACAGTCATTGAATGAATTAGTGCTTTAAAGGAGAGTCATTTGTGGACACTGAACCTGAGACCTCAGCCTAGACTTTGTTGCGCTTCACCCATTTGAGGTTAAAACTGCAAAGTGGGGTTCAGGTGGCTTTGCTAGATTTTGGCGTGTCTTATTTGTCGTTCCATTGTGTGATAGCACCATTGCTGGATACAAGAGCCGTAATCAAAATCAATGGATTCTTAAAAGCAACCAGAAATTTGCAGATGCTGTGTTGTGTTAATAAAGGTCCTTTGCATATGGCAAATGGTGCACTGCTCTCTTATTTCCTTCGTGTTACAGGTATAATTGATCTGATCCAGAAGAGATCAGGGCAGAGTGACTATGTAATGAGGCAAGATTGAGTGAATGGAAAATATATTTTCTCCAGGTTCATTTCTTCTGTTAATGGATATGATCTTAACGGGGATGGGGGGCACAGGGGGGTGGAGGGATGTGAGATCTGACAAGAGGCAGCTTTGTAGAAGCTAAAGACTGGTAGTTTTATGGCTAATATGCATTCATTCTTCTCCATACAGAACCTTTCAGAGCAGTCAACCTCTAGGTTCCCATAGGACTTTGTCTGACATAGAGGGTTTCGTCTTTAATCCTAACCCTTTGGTGATTAATAATGGAAGACATTCTTATTGATTTTTCCTGTATTATCTCTTCTCTCGCCTCTCCCCTTCCCTCCCGCCCCAACTCCCAACAGTTAAGGTTCTAAACAGCAGGAAAAGGCAACTATAGGATGTTGTTTTTTTTTGTACACTGGTGGTTATCCTGGATGCAGAGATGCTCAGTGAGGTATAAACAAAACACTGAGCATCCAATAGCCTCTAAATATTTGATGATTCCTCCCCACCATCCAGTCTAGTAGAATTATCTACAGCAAGTAAGAAATGGTTAAATCTTTGGTGTTAAGCATCAGGTATTTTGACAAACAAACTATTCTTTGGGTGGGCTTCTATCAAAAGTACAAGCTACAGTGAAAAGCTTCCAGGGCGAGGTATGTCTCAAGCCTTGGATGAAATGATGATTTCTGACATCACTTTACTAATATACATATATATATATATATATATATATATATATATATATATAACTATATAACAACATTAGAGGATAACTGCCATTATCTTGCTTTGAAGAATGCTATGAATTTTACTTTTAAGGAAAAAATATGCCTTCAGCATGCAATATGGCTTGGTTGCCTATTGTGTGGTTACTTTGAAAACATCTAGGGAAAATAAATTCAATTAATCAGATTTGGGGGGGGGTGTCTTTGGAGGTTTATTTGTACATGCTAAGCCATAATGATGCAAAGTTTTATTTGTTTTATGATGATTATGATTTAAAAGGCTTAAATATGGTGGTGGGTCGTTCTCACTCTTCCTGTATGTTCCTCCAGTGTTATTGTTCTTCTTTGCCTTAAAGAACAAGCACCTCTCTGACTGCTGGTATTATTGCTGTTGTTGTTTGGCCTAAAGAACCCAGCCAGAGCAGCATTTTTTAAAAAATGCATTTTAAGTAATAAGATGGTTAACACTGCAGCAATTAGCGGAGCTTATTTTTACACAGACTGCACATAATAGAAATTACAGAGATGTTGCCTCTTCTACTCAGTAAGAAGAAAGAAGAAATAGCAGTCATTATGGTGATAGGTCATGTTATGTAGCAAGTGTAAATTTGCAATAAGAGAGAAAGCAGGAGTGTCTAATTAGTTTAAGCCAAATATGCACATGTAAAATTGCATTAACTCAAAATTGGCTTTGCAGCAAAAACACACACAGAGTCACCTTTTAGAATATATTGGGATGAAATATAGAACTTATCTGAATAAAATGATCTTGAGCTGAATTTATAAAACCAATAATTTAATTTCAAAACTAATGATCACTGAAAAAGAGAGAAGTCTTCAAGGAATATAAGATATGTTTTCTATTAAGATACATCATCAGCCTCCTGTAACACCTCAAATTGGAAAGTAATGGAAAAATAACAAACCTGGAAAAAATCCAAGATCATGAGTAATATCCAACATTAATCATACTCAGTTTATACCTATGGAATCAAGGAATTTAAGTGCATTAATTGATTTCAGTGGGTCTGCTCTTGAGTATGACCAACGTTGGCTGTCACCTGCGCTCCTAAACATGTTTACTTGGGAATAAATTCCATTTCAAATAAAAATGCAGAGTATTGCACTGCAGGAGTGTGATGTCTTTGATTTTATTAGCTGTTGTTCTTTAAATAATTGCATTGGTTCCATTGCATAAAGGACATCCTTACAAGTTTTTTTTTATGCTTTGCTAAATGGATGATGTGTCCTGGGCAAACTTTGCCGTTGTGTTTCTGAATTCAAATTTCTAATCGAATTCTTCCTACTTTCATATATAAACATACTGTACTTTTGATTAAGAAAGCTCAGAGACTGAGATTGAATAGAAATTTTCAGTGCTGCTTTCATAACTGAAACTTTGAGTACTAGTCTCTGTTTGTGACTGAAGCAGTTTAGTCAAGAGATTAAAGTGAAGCAAAATCCTAGACAGCATATAAAACAGCATATAATATATAGATACGGTCTAAAGGCTGTCACCCTTTCTGAAGTGAAGCAGGTCTGTATCTGGTCAGTGCCTGGATGGGAAACCTGGTTCACTGATGAAGGAAAGGGGTGATATAAATGATTTCTAAAAAAATAAAAATAAAATAGCTAAGAATTTTAGAGTTAACCCCCCCTTCAACCGTACAATTCTATTTCATCCACTCACTCCCACGCTTCTCACTAATTTCTTATGGGGAAAGGTTTTTATTATTTTTTATAATACCCTAAAAGATTCATGTCCTTTTCAAAGCAACTGATTCTATGAATTTTCTCCACCAAATCAATCATACTTCAAAGCATCTTCAGAATTCATTTTTGTCTCTTGTTAAGGTGTGGGCCTTTTTCCGACTCTCCTTTGTTCGTGGCTATATTATTAGTTTTCAAAAATGTTCACTTTCAGAAGGATGCCATTTGGAGCAATTCCTCCATCTTTCAGAGTTGCATTCTCCCCCCCCCCCCCACAAAAGTCATCCCAAAAAAATTCTTATGCATTCATTGTGAAAAGTTGAATATTTTACCTTTTTTGAAACTCAGGCATTGTACGGTCAACTGCTGCCAACAATCCTAACACTGGGACTCATCCAGGATTAAAGCAACTGTACAAATGGACACAGAAGACAGAGAGAAATGGGCCCTTAATTGCAACAATGCTGCTCTTGTTTTCTTACTTGTAGGGGACTAAACGTCTAGTTCAGAGCAGTTTTGCAAGCGTGCCAAAGCAGGCCTAAAATGATATTATGTTAATAAATTTGAATAGAAGCTGTGATAAAATTTAAGCTGTTCTGTTCTTATACTGCTGGCACATTTGATGTTAGAACTAAGAGTTTGCTAAGGCTGCAGTCCTATACTCACCTGGGAATAACCTTCACTGGACTCAATGCAACTCATAGCTGAGTAGACGTAGTTAGGCTTGTACTGTAAGGCTGCAGTCCTATAATGACTTACCTGGGAGTAAGCTCAAGTGAACTCAGGGGGACTTGCTTCTAAGTAGACAAGAACAGAATTGCTCTCTCAGTGTGCATTTGGGGTTATAGTTGTGTGTGTATATAGTTGTGTTTCAAAGAACGCTTGATCTCAATAGAATAAAATATGTGAAGTGATATTGTTACCGAAATCCAAAAGCTAAACACATCTATTTGCATGGAATTATTTGGGAATCAAGTCTATGGAACTGATTACTAGTCTAGGTTTGTAATCTGGAAGAACATTTTGTAAACTTTTTTCTTTAGTTAAAAGAATACAGTTACAAATTGTAGCATAGCCTTTTGTTTCTTTCTATGTAATAAAAGTAGCTTTTATTGTGCTACATTCCCAAATGGACCAGGTCCATGTTTTTCTAGTATGTTACCCTATTGCAGGCCAACCAGATATAGTAGAGATCCAGACATCTCTATCTTTATTGATTATGTAGGAAACTTCAAATGTGCAGCACCTACCTAAATCCCCTTTCTTAAGCAACAATTAAAGGTTCATGAACCCTGTTGTCTTTTGCATCTGATCTTCTGGCATCTGATCTCTTGGCAGGCCCCTGCAGAGCTTGCCTGAGGCCTGGGGTGGGAGTCTTATAAGAATAAAGTTATAACCTCAAACAATAAGCAGCTGGTCCCGTTTAGCCATCCAAGACCCTGGGCAAGAATATCTGGCTGCCCCCCCCCCCTCCAGCACAGACTGGTCTGTTGATAATGAACAAATTAGATACTTCTGTATATCAATTTTATTCACTGAAAATGTACGAGGAAAAGGCCGTACCAAAGCTGTAATATTTTACATGATCTAGAGATGACCTTATCTGAAGCAATCATGTGTATTGAGTTAGTCATGTTTACTAGAAAGACTTGAGTAGACGATGCTGATTAAGTAACACTATAAAAATCTTATTTTAGCCCAGCTGGAGTAAATTTTCACACCTGCATTTTAGGAAAGCTTGCAAAGCTTTTCTCCCCTTGATGACTATGTTAAATTAGTACGGAATCGTTATTTTTAGTCACGTCTGCCTGTTTTTAACATAGTGTGCAGATAGGTTAGATCTACTGTATCCACCATGAGCTAGAGAAGGGGAGAAGGTGATATTTGCAGATGCAAAGATCTTCCCTCTGCATTTCCCCATGCAGAACAGCTTGGGAGTGAGGGCATGGGCCCCAGGGGTAGAGAGAACCCTCTTCCACTCAATCCAGGGGAACCTGCTTCTGGATCTCAGTCCCTCATGTGGACAGAATGAGCTTTTCCACTTGCAGAAGAGCAGCTCTGGGTCCAACTTGGTGTGCGGAGAGCAAATCAAACGTATTAGTATAATCTCAGTGGAGCCCTGTCACCCCATCCCTACTTCTGTATCCCCTCTTTTCAGAAAGCTTTTTTGTATGAATTTCACATATGATAGACATTCCACATGAAGTGTCTCTGGCATGTATTAAAACACATTAGATATTTCTCAGCTTCATTGTTTGCACTTCAGCATAAACAATTTTCATTAGCTGATACCAAGAACTACCTCAATATCTGTAAGCTTTTCATTGCTCAAGTGAGCTGACATAATAGTTGTTGTTTATATGTGTGCAGAGTGAGTTAATCTACTCCCTTTAGCATATGGAAATGCATTTTTACATTAAACATATTTTTTTTTTTTGCAGTTGAGGCTTGCAGATGTGACATCACCCACGTTTTGTTGTTCTGAATAGCATTATCCACTATAATTCTTTCTTTTTACATAAGCAGAAGCATCTGCACGTTTTCAATGTATGCTGCATGGCCCAACAATCTGGTGTGATATCTTGAAACGCTAGGAAGTATCTGTTTCACCAGCTATTTGTTTCCCTTAGGGTATGTATCTGAATACCTACTTAACTTGAATTCAGCTTTGAAGAGAGGCATAAAACATCATCTTGAGAAGTGTTCATCACTTAAGCTGATGACAGAGAGTATGTTTTCTTTCTTTCTTAACAGCAGAGTTTTACCAAGCATGATAATGCATCAATGATTTCCTCCATCGGTTTAATGTTAAGAAAATGCGTTTGCAGTTGCGTTCATCACTACTTGTAGTCTTAAAAAAACGAGACCGCAACTGGAGGTTCTTGGGTTAAATCCAGTTACCAAAGAGGTGGCACCTGTCCCTACACTTGCCAGTCTAGAAGCAAAAGAGGTGAAGAGGTTTGGATAAGATGGCATCTGTGGCAACAGCCTATTTGACAGACCTGCACTAGGGTATGTGGCTTGAAATAATGTCCCCAAAACCCTTTTCAGAGTTGATATTGGGTCTATGAAACTTTTACATTACAGTATTGCCTCATGGCCCATTCATGTCTCACATATAAACTTGTATATTTAATCATTCTATGAATAATTTAACTTCCCATTGTGGATTGAGTTCTGGATTGTCTCCAAAACCATAAAACACCAACAATTTCCTTAATGAGTAGTTTGTGCTCTTTCAAAATCAGCTCTTTCTTTGAGAAAACTGACAATTATTTCTCAGCTTTTTCTTGGTGCTATTACATCAGATTCCATTTCACGCCTCTCATCAGACCAATCTGCATTTATCATTTGACAGTATGCTGCAGTGGTTCTCAAACTTTTCTCTAGGCCACAGTTTCAGAATGAAAACTTGCTCGCACCACAACTGAATTTTTAATTGATCAGAAATGCAGTGGAAAACAACAAGAAACAACTCCCGGCAGTGCTTGGTTTATATCACAGAACACAGTCACTTTATAATATGATCACGGGACATCCAGAAAGTATAAAACAATAGCTTTGTAGGAACATGACTCATTCCCAAATATAATATTGGTTGCCTTTGAATCTTCCCACTACATTTGCCACCCTCTCCTGCAAAACCAGTGCGACACACCACACCCTTTGAAAAACCACTGGTACACTGCAAACCTATTACATTAAAAATACTTCTCTCCATGTCAAATCTGGCTGGGAAATCAATGATACTCATTATAGTTTTGCTGATACGTTATATCAAATATGTTAACCATTCTACAAATGGACTTCTGAAGTATACGCTTAAAATAAGGCACGTAGTCAATACTTTTTACCTCAGTTTTACTTTTGGTAGAAAATGGCTGTTGTTCCCAAAATTCATGATGTGTTTCTTGCCTCTTCTTCCATCCATAACCCTGCCACCATCCATCATGCTGGCTCTCCCTTTCCTCCCACATAAAACAATTCACTACTTCATCTGCAACATTACCTTAGGCCTCCAGCATCTCATTTGTACTGTCTGATGAAATCCATATCCATACTCCAAACATTATTGTCCAGAAAAAGGGTCATTTTTTAAATATAATTATACATGAATGAAATACAGTGGTTTATGGTTTCCCTCAAGCTTTAACTCTAATCTTTAAGCATGTTTAGTTGGGTCAAAGGTTCAACTTTCCATCATTACCACCTTTCCATATTACTTGTCTTGTGTCTTTTTATATTACATTTTTAATTTTTGCAAGATATTGTAACCTCCTTGAGCCCCTGAGATAGGATATAGCTTAGATCTAAATCAATAAACGAGAAGACATATCCTCAAAAACCTTCAAATACTCTGTATTCTTTATAAAATTCAATTAAAAAGTGTCCTTTTTAAAGTCGTCTGTCAACCTACTTTAAGCTAGCTCAAGAATCTTCCCTCTTTTTTTTCCTTCAACAGCTTGATTAGAGATGTAAAATATCTGGAATTTTTGAAACCATGGGGGATCTTTTTTCTGGAAGAAAGCACATTTTCCAGAAATTTCTTTAAAAATTGAATATTTCATTAAAGCACTACATATCAAAGGTCACTTCATTACTTAAGGAACATAAAATGCATCATGTATAACTTGGTTTGCCATAGAATGATCATGTCTGGTACATTAAAAGTACAGTTAATTCAGACAGTGATTACAAATTGAATTTATTCTTTACATTTTTTTTGTTACAAAAGTAGCCACAAGTTGATGAGCACTAAGGAAGCTAGAATCTCTTTGATTTTGTCAGTTTACGAGGTACAGGCAAAACCCCAAGAAAAATATAAACCAACAGTGTTATAGTAAAACAAATTATTATTTATTCTGCAAATTATTTTGTCTCTTTCCAGTCCTTCACAGTATCAAGCAGACATAAATCATTCATTGTCATAAAAGGAGGGGAGGGGAGGGAAAACAATACTAAATGACCACTGCATGAAATTCAATCAGCGTCTTTTTTTAAGCTACCGTTATCCATATCCGTTTCTTCATAACTGTCATCATATTTATCATGAATTACTGAAAACTGAAGGTTTGCCCAATTTCAAAAAGTTTCCTACCTTTTCACATTTTTGTTTATTTTTTGATTTAGTGTTAGTATTTCCAAACATAGATCATTTTCTTTAACATAATGCAGAAGAAGATGGAGGAACCTAAAGTAGGTAAGAAGCAAGAAGATTTGGGAGGCTGTGTTGTACAAAGGCCTTGCTGCCATGTTGCGGGACGAATATGCTTGGCAGAATCTCAGACTACATTCCTTGGCCAAATACTTCAAGATGTTCCCCAGTCTGCAACATTTGAAAGTCCCTTTCCAGCATCAAGCGTGCTGCTTGTTTTGTAATCCAGTCAAATGCAGAAATAGTGCTATGATCACTTACATTTCTGCTTTTGAATCTTGCATCCAACAGATGTACAGCAGTGTGAACTAGATGGCAACAAAATTAATTGCTTTGTACTGTCTCCCAGTCCTTTAAGTTTTGAGTTTTTAAAAATATTATAATTTAGTACATTTACACCCCACTTGTCTTCCATCATGGAACTCAACAAGTACACCATCAAGACTTACAAGATATACAGCAGGGATGTCCAACTGGTTGACCACGATTGACTGGTCGATCCCTGGGAGGTTTTGGTCGATTGTGGTTGATTTTTCCTTTGCGTGGGAAAAAGAGGATCCAGCCCCACCCCCTTGGCCCATCCTCCATTTGCGCATGATCGCTAGAACAGAAGACATAGTTTTCGCTGTGAGGCCATTTGTTTCCTGATCAACAACTTTTACATCAACCCCCCAAAAAGGTCAACAACTTTGACCTTCCTCCCTAAAAAATGCTCAACAACTTTGACCTGAACCCCCCCCAAAAGGGTAGATCACTGCTAGTTTTTTATTCTGTGAGTAGATCACAGTCTCTTGGGAGCTGGATGTCCCTGATATACATGTACTAAATAATAATAATATACCTTTTTACCAGTTTTAAAGCCAGCAAAACCCCATCTTTTTATTTTAAAATATACAGTGCAGATGGGGTATAGCTATAGCAGAGAGGGGTTTTTTTTGGTAATGGTCTCAGTGCAGCTTCTACAAATGTGGTTTGTTTGTTTTTTTATATTTATTTACTTTTTGCTGAAAAAACCGGGCCTGCTTCATTTTTGCCTGGAAGATTTTTTTTGTTTGCATCAGCACAAAATCTGTGGAACTCACTTCTACCAACTCTGGTGCTCAGTAAATTTGTACAACAAATACATTAGCAACTTTTAAAATGTCAGTCAAACTTCTTTTTCAGTCAGAGATAAAGCAAATAGCTGAAGCTTGACACTTCATCTGGGCCACTGCTTTTAATTTTTTTGAAATAGTCCCCCCCCCCAATAATAATAAACAGATGTTTTGTGACTAATATTAGGGCATTCTTAGGCAGTCTTACTTTGATTAACTTTGTGTGGGTGGGCATTTCTATTCCCATAATCCCACTATTAACTTCAACCATGCTCTCTGGGAGCATCAGAGTGCACAACCTCAGGGCCAGTGTTCTATCCTTACACAGAGCTGATACATAGAACCACAGAATTGTGGAGTTGTAAGGGACCACAGGGACCATCTGGTCCAGGGGTCAGCAGACTTTTTCAGCAGAGGGCCGGTCCACTGTCCCTCAAACCTTGTGGGGGGCCGGACTATATTTTTTTGGGGGGGAATGAACAAATACCTATGCCCCACAATAACCCAGAGATGCATTTTAAATAAAAGCACACATTCTACTCATGTAAAAACACACTGATTCCTGGGCCGTCTGCGGGTCGGCTTTAGGAGGTGATTACTAATAAGCAGTTGTAAGAGATTTAAATAAGACCATAGTATTTTGAATGAGTTTGTACACACACACACACACACACACACACACACACACACACACCCCACATAACACACACGGGGGGGGAGTGTCCAAATGCTCTATACTTTCCCCATGTGAAAAAGAAATGCAGAAAATAAGTAATAACAAGTGTTTAATCTTATGAGTCACTGCAGGGATAATCATGAAAAAGCTCATATCCATTCTGTGATGCTTTGTAGAGTTAGGTACCATAAGTAAAATTTCCCCAGATTATCTAGTTGATTTTATAGGCCTATAACAGCAAAGTGACTCATGGCAAATTTTATTATAGCTTATTTAGACTTTTGTTGGGTACAATCCCCTTTAGATACATGAATTGTTATCTTCAGTTGCAGGCCTATATTCAGGAAAAGTTTTTCTGCTTGATTCTGTTTGAAAAAGAAAGACTTGACACTAGATTATGGAAGAATAACACTGGAGATCTTTGAGGGACAGACATCCTGCCTTGAACTCTTTGGATGAAGGGCAGAACAAAAACGCACTAAATAATATATAACGGTACCATATATAAATAATACATCTGATGAATTATGCCATTGCCTGTGGGTGTTCATACCAGAAAAAGGTAAGAAAGACATGACCAAGCACATAAGAGTGCAATCTTATGTGTGCACACTCAAAAGTAAGTCCAACTGAGTTTAATGGGGCTTACTCCCAGGTAAGTGGGTAAGCCACCAATATATACTAAATACTAAAAGGTAATGATAGGAAAACTTGGAGCAAAAAACCCAATATTCTTAGGTAGTGACACTGAGTTTTAGGTGGCAGAGAGCCCATATGAGTGATTCTTTTAAGCCACACATTCTACCACAATTTTACTCATTTAATTTATTCAGCCTTTTTGGCATAATTTAGAAAATAAGATCATAAAAGAGGGGGAAAACGCATCCATAAAACGTTGCTATCGTCCACTACAGGATGATAAGAGACACCTAAGCTGCTCCTGGATAAGAGAACTCACACTGAGTTAATATTATTTATGAAATGTCTATTCTGGCCATCATCCAATGATTACCAGGCGGTTTACAATATAATTGTCTTCTGTGTCAGCTCACACAGGAAAAAGCTGATTTCCCATGTTGGGCATAAGATTACCAGGGGTGGTTGTCTCTCTAATTTTATATTAAGCCACACCCCCTCCATGGTGGTCTCAAAATTAAAAATGTAACCACTAGACCAAAATGGTTGGCAGCCCCTAAAGAAATCCAGCAGATATGGTACACAAAGCAACACCTGCTACAGGTGTTTTCTTTTCATGAAGATGCTTTTCTGTGCCTTCAAAAGCTGCCTGTCAGTAATTCAGGCACTTTATACTTTGTCATTATTTAGAATTGTCCCCATGGGGCATCCTAGCCCCCGTTTTCACAGAGAGCAGCGACCTGGTTGGTGTGCTGATGCTTTAAAAAAGAAAGGGAGGAACAAACTCCTCACCTCCCTCATCTAAAGGTAAACACAGTGCATCTGAAACTACCTCCCCCAGATTAATACAGTCTTCTAATTTCCAAGTAATTAGACTAATAAATTAATAGCAGGTCAAAGATTAATTAGATAATATACATGTGCATTAAACAACCATGAAAATATAGGCATTTGATAACTATTTTCAACTCTTCACCTCCGTTTATCAAGTTAGCTGTAAATGTTGTTCTCTAAACATAAATACAGCCTAGTCTACAGTCATCCATACTCTGCTGGCATCTTGCATTTGTAGATTTGCCCATCTGAATAGGGCTGAGGAAAGAAGGGAATCTGCACTTGAGAGACGACAAGGAAAACTGGAGGGCTGAATCTGCAGCCTGTTCCTGATCGCCAAATGAATAGGCCGGGACGACTACACCCTGCATTGGGAAGTGGCCCCAGAGATCATTAAATTTGAACTGTTCACAAATTATTTACAGAGTACCCAAGAGAATCTCCCTGCACAACCACATGATAGTTAACTTGAGGGCTGATTTTGTGAAGTGCAGGAGAGATCCATTTCAACGTTTTAAAGTTTGCAGGATGTGAGGAATGCAGGAACAAGCCTTACATTGATCTATACAGGGCTTCCTAACCTACCCTTTAGCCTCTCCAGGGGAGGACTTAAGTATTTCACATTTCAGGGGCACTGAACTGGTCGTGCTGCCTTAACCTACCTCTGAGCCTCTCCCAGCCAATGCTATTTGGCCAGCCATGCAGCTTACTATTGATAAAAACTGTGGCGTTTAAGGCAATCATGAAAATTTCTGTTTTGCATACATTTTAGTTCTTTGAAGATCCATGTCATCTTTTCCTTGCAATACATCCCCTTTAGAGATAAACGTCCTTCACAAGTCTCTTGGGGGAATCAGATCCACACTGTTCTGTCCGTCTACTGTACTCTCTCTCCACACATAGAAGTAAGAATGCTGACGGTTACATATTTTAAAAGTTGCATATCACACTCTCACTTTTCCACACACCCCACCCCCAAATCTTTCATTTCTTCTAATCTCACATTTTAAGTTTTCTGTCTCTCTCTGCTTTAGAGTTTGGAGCACTTTTTAATGCTGTACTAGTCAAAATGCTTAAGAGTTCATGCATCCTTTTTTTCAAAAAAGCTGTCAACATAAGCTTACACATCTCAACAGCAAAGGCTTCCCATTTTGTAAGGCTTGGGCTGGATCCAGAAATGTGCAAGCGGAAGAAATTCTGGTGCTGAAGCTGTTCTGCAAACCTTTGCCCAAGAGATAGTGAAAGGCATTGTTCAGCGCAAATGGTGGAAGCTTGTACCGCTGAGTAGACTTGTGCAAGAGATACACAATGCCTGCTAGATTTCATTTCCCTTTTTATTGTGTAAGTATCTTTTCTTTGTGGGAAAAAGGGTATTCTGTTCAGAGAGGAGAACTTCTGGATCTAACCCCCTTTGTTTATTTTATTTAATTAATTATTTGAAGGCTATGCATGTTGTTTGTTTGTTTGTTTGAAGTGACAAATGTCAGGTTTCCCCTTGATGCCCCCTTCTTATTGTCATCAAGTTTGAGACAGGATGAAGCGCTACTAGCACTTGAGTATGCTTGCATGAAGCAAGCACTAAGAAATGATTTATTTTTTTAAAAGTATTTTGAAGGATCTCCAAGACCAGTAATGGGTTGGTCTTATACTCTTCACATATCATAGTTTAAAGGCAAATGTACCTAATTTATATTAATAACAAACCCCCAAATTCATTGTATGATTTGTTTTGATCTGGCTTTAATAAACTTTCCCTCCTATTTTAATAGGTGCATTTATACACATTGCTAGTGATTTGCAATTATGATAGTCCCAACAGCAAACAAAACAAAATTAATGTCAGCAGCATCCTCCAAAGTCTAAACTCTGTTCTAATGAACTCCCTGGTACTTGCAAATAAATTTCTGTCTGCAAATACAATAACTTGGAAATTACTGTAAAAATCTAAATGCACGGGTGTGTGGGGGGGGATTGAAATGCAGGGTGGGATTTGCTTTTCATGATCCCATTAACTATGGTTCTGGCAAAGCATATGCATACAGAGTAGTACTTTGCTGAACATTTGTTAAAACATAAGAGTGTCTTATTAGCATTTTCAATAAACATACGATCTCACACACTCTTGTGCTTCAAAGGTGGAGAAAGGGGTATTTATTCTGAGTAGACTAACAAATCATACTCACTGCAGCTTTATCACTGAATACTTAGGCTTCATGAAAAATAGAAAAATGTTTAAAAAACACTTTCCTAACTGTCTGCTACTGAATGATTTAAATAGCAACCCCTTGTGTTATAGAAATAAACATATTTAAGTAAAGTCACTTCTATAAATTTTTTAATGGTTAATTGAAACATTATGTACAACACTCTGCCTGTATTATAAATGAGTGAGGTTATTTTTGCTTTTTGTTTTTAACTGTGTGGCAGTTTAAGTCACCAGAAAACTATGTTTTCTAGCATTTCTGCACTACGTGAAATATTGATACATTTTGCTTCAAGAATGGCTATAAATTATAGCAGTCAGGGAATTAATTTTGATCACCTGTATAATCTGTCACGAACATTTGTGGATGAATGCTACATTGATTCCAAATTCAGTCTCACATATTTTAAATCTGCTCTTTTAAAAGTTTACTTAGGTTTAAAAAGGGTTTATTTCTGCTTCCGTTCACATTATCAGGATTTTGTGTCATAAAAAGCAGACTTTGGGTAGAATCCAATTGACATGCCTAGTGCTGTTGCTAGGAAGCAAAACCGGCAAAAATGGCGTCACCTCCTCCATTAGAAGATACCTTCTACTGGATCAAAAGCCCCTGGCACTTTACACAAGGACACCAATGGTACAGAGCATTTAAAAAATAAATAAATGTTACTTTGTTCTTGTAGTGATGAAAGCTCCAGCACCAATTGGCTGAGCTCCTGTGATGACATGGCATGTTTGTGAACATTCTAGCTTCTCAAGAAACAAAGCTGTAAAAAGTGCTTTCTCATCAATTGAATTAAAATACAAACAATTGGAATAATACAAAATGCAGTTAACAACAGCATAATAAAAATACAGAGTGATAACCAGCTGAAGTGTCCATCTTAGCAGAGTCTATCTATAACAGTATTTCTGAGGTACGCTTCCATCTCTATATTTTGAAAGACTGAATTATGAACCAAGATTTGCTGAGCCAGCACTAAATCATATGCAGGACTTCCCTGCTCACCATTAGCAACACTTACTGTTTTCTACCCTGATTTTTCTTTATTCTCCATTGTGTCCACTGTCATGTTGTATAGATTTTAAAAAAACTTTCTGTCAAAATGAGAGGTGCTACTATTCCATTTGCATCTTCCAAATGTATGTCCATATTGCTTTAGGACCCACACAATCTTTTTCTTCCATGCCTTAGAATTATAGAATCGTAGAGTTGGAAGGGAGCTCAAGGGTCATCTAGTCCAACCCTCTGCAATGCAGGAATCTCAACTAAAGCACCCATGACAGACGGCCAGCCAACCTCTGCTTAAAAACCTCCAAGGAAGGAGAGTCCACAACCTCCTTATGGGGCTAGGGAGCATTGGGCCTGGAGGCGGAATGTAGCCTTTCTGGCTCACGAAATTCTCCACAAGCCACACCTCCTCCGTTGCCTTCTAAGGCCACACCCCTCTCTCCAGGCCACACCCCTTCCTGGCTCTGATCTGACTATTTTTGCATGGTTGCTATGTGTCCTTGAACTATGTTAATGCTCCTTGCTTGCCTAGAGGACGTTTAAAGAGGTGCGTGTAGAAATGTCTAATTTTTGTACAGCTGGAATGTAGCCTACCACGCAAAGGGTAAGAAGCACAACCTTTGCTCCACCCACATTTTGGCTCAGGCCCCACCCACTTTTGCCTCTCCCCGCCTCCACTGGCATGTGGCCCCCAGAACGTTGCCCTTGAGGGAATGCTTCCCATGGGCTGTAAAGGTTTTTCCACTCCTAACTGCCCTGGATATTACACAGGATCCAAAGAAAGGAGTTAGCTGTATGAAGTGTAAGAAAGCCCAGAGACTTTGGTAGGTAGATTAAGGACTGACAGAGAAAGAGGAATCCAAGGAACGTGTACGTTAAGGAGAAGGAAGATTGAGGAAATGAGCAAAGGTGACCCAAGAACACAGGCAAAAACAGACTAAGGGGTATCTACTACCAGACTTCCACATATTGATTCGAATAAGCTGCAGGCTATCACCCCAGCTGGTGCCTCCCACCACTCCTGTACATCCAGCCCATGACATTGAATAGATTAGCTATTTTTATATATACTCTTGGCAATTAAAGGCAAATTCCCTATTTTGTTTACTGGCAGATCTATGGAGCACATCGCAAATTACTGTATCTGGAAATGCAGCACAAGTAATTGGCTTCTGTTCTTCTCAGCTCCCCGTCCCCCCCAAATAATATTAATCCATGTTTTGTTGCTTTGATGTTTATTTATTTATAATTTTTTTTATCTTGTCTTAAACAATTTGCTGAAGGCAGCTCATAGTCCAAACATAAAACATCAATAAAACCACAGTAAAAATGAGAGTTAAAATTACAATGACATTTACAACAACCATAAAATACCAATTTAAAACAGTAGAACCACAACGCAATACAATAAAAAATGCTTGTTAGAACAAATGAGTCTTACTTGCCTCCACCCGAAAAGCAGGCGAAGAGTCACAAGTACATCAACAGGGTGACAATTCCTAAACCTTGGGACAATAAAGTAGAAGACCATGTTCTGGCCTCTCAAATTTGACAAGACATAGGACATTTGTAATTGGATTTCCTAACATTTTCATTTTTGCCTAAACGCATCCAGGGGATAATCCCAAATGAGAGCAAGCAGAGGCAGTAAAGGGAATGGGAGGTTAGCCTTACCCTGATACTACTTTCCCCATTTAAATTGCCCCATGAAGTGTATGTGTTCTGCTGCAGGACTAATAGCAGCATCAGATTACATGGGAACACGATATGGTGGTTAGCTCCACCCCTTTCCACACTGTTTTCATAAAACATGGAGTCCCCCATGGATGTTTTCCAGTAAAAATTAAGGTGTCATGAAATCCAATGAAGGATCTCCGCCATCTTGGCTGGCCTGTCTTCTTTGTCATGTTCTGTGAACAGACACCCTTTCTCACTAGATCTTTTAAGAATGGTGCCAAGACAGAACTACAGTTAGGCACTTGCGCATGGGGCTGCCCTTGGAGATGGTCTGGAAGCTGAAGGTAAATCAGAATGTACCTTGTTGGTTTCATTGGGCTTCTGGCCCAATTCAAGGTGTTAGTACTAGCTTACTAAGCCCTAAACACCTTGGGAGCCAAGTACCTCAAAAAGTACCTCCCTCAGTATAAACAATCTCAGGCCCTATGATTGCCAGGGGAGGCCCAGTTGGTATGCCACTGCTGGGCACTGCCCACTTGGTTCTGACCCATAGCTGGGCCTTCTCAGTATAGTTCTCCATTTTTTCCAATACATCTCCGCCACCCACGGCCCTAGAGGTACATATGTCATCCTCATTATTAACATTCAGGAGGAATTTTTAAACCTTCCAGGCATTTTGATGACTGTTTCTGGAAACTGTGAAATTATTAGCTATAACAATATGTGACTGCTAAGAATTTTTATTCATTCATTTATTTCTTTAAAAAATTGTTTTGTTTTCCTCTTTTGTTGTTTGCTGTCCTGGGCTTCTTTGGGAGAGAAGGTGGGATAAAAATGATTAAATCATTGTTGTCATCATCTTGTTCTGCTCCATTTGCTATAAAGCTGGTGCAGAAGGTCTACTGTTAATGTAAATGTGGACGTGTGGAAAAGGGGAGTGAAACCTAACCCCTCCCTTGTGTCATTTCACTGTTTTGGGGTACTTCTGAATACTTTTCTCCCACCCAGCTCATTCCCCATATTGGAGCTGGGCTGAGTGAGAACATCTTAGAGCACCTGAGCAATAGCAAGAGCAGTAACAGGCAGCAAAACAGGACAGGCCACCCCTGCCTGCTGGACCTCATGTGATTAACTGGTCTTGGATGTTTGGAATAGTAGAGACCCAGCTGTAACAAGTGTATTGGTGACATGTCATTCCAAAGTTCTGGATGATCTCATTCAATGGCTATAAATTGCACAGTATACATGTCAGTGTTTACCCGCCTGTGGAACTATGAACAAATGTCTCCCAAGATGCCCAGCAAGCATGTGCCAAGTTTACCCTCTGGGGATTTTTGCCGGAAAGAATGAAATAGAACCATTGAAGTCCTTTGAGGGCTATAGCTATTCTAAATAAGGCATCAGAACATTGCTATCAATAGTATCAAAAGTTGAGGAGCAATCATAGGTGATTCACATTTATTCTAGGGTGCAGCTGGAGTAAGTGATTGAACACAATTAATCACTCATTAGTGAGCCTACCCAATACTTCTCTACCATCGTCATGTATGCCCAACACTGCACAGTAGAGCTCTTCCCTGTGATTTGGGCCTTTTCCAACTTGGCCAGCATTGTGATGCAACAGAACTCTCCATGATCTGCTGTGATTAATTCACTAAGCATTTTAAGGATAAAAATGCTAACATCCTCCTTGATCTGATGTTACCATTTCTGCAATCCGGCTTGCAGATACCTAGTCCTGGTTTGTTGGATAATTTATTTGGTTGTGGCTTAAGGATTTGGACAAGATTTTTGGAGGTGTGCATGCTCGCATACCACTTCCCTGTCTAATCGATTTGGATGAAGGAATTGAGGGGGCTCTCATCAAAGTTCCATTTAGAAAATGTATCCAGCAGAACTAGTATAATAATTTAATAAAAATTAATATATTTTCTAATACTTCTGCGTGCCCTACCTTCAGTCATTGCATTGCATTGCATAACCATGCCCAGCAGTCTAGACATTCTACATCTGAATGAATGTGCACTTGATGTAAAATATGAGACAGATCCACCATTAGGTAGAATAAGCTTTGCAGTATTGTTGGATGTTACTCAGCTAAGCTGTTTACAATACTTTTTGCCCTTTTTCTATAGTTTGCATAGTTTGCATATAGCTAATTAAGTTTGGTTTTCTTCCCTCTCTACTAGGATTGCTGCCTTTTCCTGTCTTTCCCCCCCACAAGCCTGCATAACTGACACCTGGGGTTATGAAGTCAGTCCTAGATGGCCTCGCAGATACGACCTTCAGAACAATTACGACAGATCTTCTATACATGGGTTCCAGCGATATCCAGTACGAAGATTTCAAAAGTGACATGGCTTCCAAGTTAGGATACTACCCACAGAAATTCCCTCTGTCTTCTTTCCGAGGCGATTTCAGACCAAAAATGACTGCAGGAGAAGATGCCATCCTGGGTGGGCACCCACAGGATCAGATCAACCTTACAGATTTTTACAACAAGACCTTGACCACCTTCAAGGATAATGAGGAGAATATACAATGTGGGGATAACTTCATGGATATGGAGTGCTTTATGATTCTGAACCCTAGCCAGCAGCTGGCCATTGCAGTACTGTCCCTTACTCTGGGCACCTTCACTGTTCTGGAAAACCTTCTGGTCTTGATTGTCATCCTGCAGTCCCGAAGCCTTCGCTGCAGGCCTTCCTACCATTTCATCAGCAGCCTGGCCGTAGCTGATCTCCTGGGCAGTGTAATCTTCGTCTACAGTTTTGTTGACTTCCATGTTTTCCATCGGAAAGACAGCCCTAACGTGTTCCTGTTCAAACTGGGTGGAGTTACAGCCTCGTTCACTGCCTCGGTGGGCAGCCTTTTCCTCACCGCAATAGACAGGTATATATCTATACACAGGCCTTTATCTTATAAGAGGATTGTCACCAGATCGAAGGCTGTTGTAGCATTCTGCGTGATGTGGACCATAGCTATTGTAATAGCTGTCCTTCCTCTGCTGGGCTGGAACTGCAAAATGCTCAATTCTGTTTGTTCAGATATATTTCCTCTAATAGACGAGAACTATCTGTTGTTCTGGATTGGGGTCACCACTGTACTCTTGCTTTTTATTGTGTATGCCTATATGTACATACTGTGGAAGGCTCATAGTCATGCTGTTAGGATGATCCAGCGCAGCACTCAGAAGAGCATAATAATACATACTTCAGAGGATGGTAAAGTGCATCAGATTACTAGGCCGGAACAAACACGTATGGACATTAGGTTGGCCAAAACCTTGGTCCTCATTCTTGTGGTTTTGATCATCTGCTGGGGTCCTCTGCTTGCAATTATGCTCTATGATGTCTTTGGGAAGATGAACAAGCTCGTGAAGACTATCTTTGCCTTCTGCAGCATGCTCTGCCTGCTGAACTCCACCGTGAATCCCATCATCTATGCTCTCAGGAGCAAGGACCTGAGACATGCTTTCAGGAGCATGTTTCCACCTTGCAATGGGACTGCACAGCCTCTTGATAACAGCTTGGAGTCTGACTGCCAGCACAGACATGCTAACAACCCAGGTAATGTCCACAAGGCTGCTGAAAGGTGTATTAAAAACACAGTTAAGATTGCCAAAGTGACCATGTCTGTCTCCTCAGACACAACTGCAGAGGCGCTGTAAAACAAAGACCTCTCGACACCGTAAGAGAACAGATTAAGAGAAAGCAAGAGAAATTCATGGCTTCTTTCCTCCAGTGTAACCATTTTTTTAAGTTTATCATTTCTAAGTGACTGTTTTTATGAGTCTTGAGCAGTAGCCCCCTCTTCTGAGTTCTACAAATAAGAAGTCAACTGAAGTTTTTAAAAACAGATTTTTTTCCATTGGCAAAATGCTAATTTACTAATAATGGCTATTATAGTATACAAAAAAAATAATATATCACATTAATCAGTGAGCAAGATATACACACTTTAGGAAGCTTATTGAAAATTGAAACATACAACAGTTTAATTAGAACAAAAAAGTAAATTTTGTAATCATAGGTTTTGGGTTTTTTCTAGTGTGAACTATGTTAATTGTCTGTAAGTAGGTTTTCATCCTCCCCCACCCCCAAAGCGGCAGTACTGGATTGTAAGAAATTTTGTACCATGTCTTGTGAGATGTATGATGTTTTACTGTATGTTACTGATATTTGTCTAACCAAAGTGATTAGGTAGACTTGTGTGGATGTAATGTAAAGTATGTGGTGATGTAACCCCTCCCCACCCCCACCCCCACTCCCCACCATGAAAATACTTCCTGTATTTTGAAGAATTCCTATAAGGTATTTTGAAATTTTTACATTCTTAGTGGTTTTTAGTGAACTTAAAAGGAAAGGCTTTGCATTTCTTCTGCTCACATTTGAAATCCCTATTAAGTTTTTTAAAACAAACAAACAAACATGTAAATATGGAAATAACAGAAACAAAGGAACATAGAATACTTTTGGGAAAAAGGAAAAATACACTGGCTCAGACTGAAAAAGATGTGTGTGTCTCTCCCCTCCCCTCAAAAAAATGCCATCTTTTGTCTATAAGACTGTTGGCTTTTTATTGGAAATTGTGTGAATGCCAACATGACCCAAAAGAAAGTTATTAGGCAGTGATGTCTTTAATAGGCAACTGCTTTTTCATTGGTCTGTTGCTGGCATTGGATTTGCGAAGACAACATGTGTTCGGTTCCATGTACAAAGTTCAATCACTGTGACGTATACTTGAAAATGTGTTTCATTCCTATGTCCCAGGTTTAAATAGATTTCAAACCTGAAATGCCAAAACATCAGTCTTCAGTAACAAGAGGATAAAGTGTTAGTATTAGATTTAAAAAATGAATGTGTATATATAATTATTTAATATCTATGTAGCTGTGTGTGTCGTGTACGTATTCTAAATAACCGTGGTTACATTAATATTACTAAGATAAGAAACTGTGACCAAATGTTTTCTCTGTACTCCTTACTGCATTCTTTGCACATGAATTCTGTTTCTAAAAGTGAGTTCTTCCAACCAATCAGCAATGAGCTTGCAGGATCTATTGAGCACACTTGTAAAATCATACTGAAAACAACAACCCAATATGATAACTGAAGAGAAGTATTTTAATATATGTAGCTGGCAGCCTGATTAAGATGGCAGAAATACTGTAGCGCCTAAAAACTCGACTGGCTTAATGTGAATTCGGCCACAATAATGACAGGAATGATTGGAGGAAGCCGAGTGTCTCTGTGAACAAATGCAAGGAACTTTAAAACAGTCATCCACTCGTGTCAGAATCAAGACCCCACTGCAACAAAATTAAGAACCCTCTCAAATTGGATGCTCCACATTTGTAGCTTCTTCTTCTTTTGCCAGAACTAAGAATGCAGGAGACAAAAATTGAAATGCCAACCATCTGAAAGGTAGCAACCTTAAATCACATTTATAGTAAGATAGTTGGCCTCCTGTTGTTAAAAGAAGGTTACTCTGATCCAGCAAAGGCAGCTCAAACAAAGAAGCAGACTGCTATATTAAGATCCCTCTTTTTGATCAGGTCCTACGTGTATGGGGGGGGGGGGACGGACTGAACGTGGGCAGTTTTCTTTTTTAGATCCTGGCATCTTGCACCAAGGATTGTGTGTGGGGTTCCAGTTGCTGGGCTGCAACTTGTAGCTTGCGTTCCAAGCACCAGATGGACAGCATTGTGTGAATCTAGTGCTGTCACACATCTGCGTGAAGGCAGATCACGAAGAGCTGTGGGGGGGCCAGTCAACAGTAGATAAAATAGACACTGAAAGAATTAAAAACTGGGAACAGGCAAACTTAATGCCATCGTCTAGCAGAATGTAAAGTGAAACTAAAGCTGTAGCTAGAATGTAGCCTGCCGAGAACTAAAGATCCCGAGTAACATGAGTTTGGAAGCTGACTAGGGCAAATCGTTTGCTTTTAGAATCCATACAAGTTGATCCTTTGATGCTCAAGAGAGGAGAGGCAACCCTATTCAGGGTTGGGAGCTGAGCAAGTTATCAAAGAGCAGTTCTGATATGAAAAACTTCTCCATCTCCAGTCCTCTTCCTCCCTGCTCCACATCTGAAGAGTTTTACTAAAATACGGCTCCTTTCGGAAGGAGAGTATATGGGGAAAGCCTGCCTATACTAGATCTCAGTATGATTTTGATGTAAGATGGAGAAGGAGGTGCCAGAACAAGTTTCAGGAGCATCTAGCAATGAAAGCAAGGAAACACCTCCTCACTCACAGCTTGGGAGTTCTTTAGTAACATTGTACAGTAGGGAATTCCTAGCCTGCGGTGGCTCAGTGATTCTTGGAAGCCCCAATCTATCAGAAAGAAGGAAGCACAGGACTATAGAACAGGGAGAGAGATACGAGTTTGTGGCATGCTGCTTTTAAGTTCTGTGACTAAAGGGGATCTAGCAAAGAAGAGAGCTATCATTCCTGGGTGAAGTGCTTGACATTTTACCACTGCTCACACTAGTTCTTTTCCAGAAATGGAAGTGTCATAAAAAGTGTTACACCAGAAATGGCTCTGCCACCTCTATGGAGTGGGCAACCTTTTTCATCTGAAGTGCCACAGTCCTTTCTGGACAATCTAGGGGCCACAGCAGTGGAGGTTTTAACATGTTCATTGGTTCAGCATTGTAAGTTAGGTGGTCACCTACAGAACGAATTCTATTTGATTTGATGTTTGTATTCTTATCCAGCAACAGTGTTGAGCTCAAAACAGCTCACAATAATCGCAGTAGCATTAAAAAGCAACAGGCATTGCAATCATTATAATATCAAACAGAGTAGCAAACCAGAATAACAAATTCATCAAAACAGTCAATGCAATTCAATGGAGGCATGGTAATTCAAAATATTGGAAAGAGCTTCTGGGCCTTGTGCAATAAAACAATTCCATCCAGGGGAACAGCTTGCCAAAACTACCAGGCAAGTTGCTAAAAGGCAAGATGATGATAAAGATAAAAATGCAAACCTTATTTGTTCATAACTATGTCAAAATACTGTACAAAATGTTGGACTTGGTGTAGAACAGATCTGTTCTATTCTACGCATGTTCCTGAGAGGTGTAGCTTGGCAATCGAAAGGGACTGGAGTATTTCTGGTTTGCTTCAAGACATGCACAAGAGGGATATGCCACGACTTCTGCCAAGAGGGCAGCTGTGCATTTGTTACTTATTTCATTTGCAGAGCTGCCCCCTCCACTGAAGCGAATTCGCAAGTCCTTGCAAGCAAGCATCCTCCATATGTGCATTGAAACTTCCCACACACACACTTGAAATAGCACACTTGATCAGGGTGTGTAACTTTCAGTAGCGGTGGAAAACTTTTATCGTCCTCTATTTAAAAAAACAGGAAAGGAAAGGAAAAGATCATTCTGGTAACTACTTGGGCACCTCCAGATGATGTTTACTGAATATTCTGAGCTCAGTGCAGGCCACCATGGATGCAGCACATGATCAGAGGTTTCTCTGGGGCATAAGCCTCTTTTCCCCCTCCCCTGCAGCATGTACATTCAAGCAGTCCCATGTGGCAGGCCTTTCTGTGGAATTGGAGACTTGTGCTATCTTTCCATATCCCTATACAGCACCTTGTCTTTCTGATTGGTCAAAGAATGTGAGGGCCCTCCCCCGTAATAGCATAGCCCATTCAATTGCTTGTGTGTACATACTGAAGGGGGAGAGAAAATAGACTCCTGTGCTGTAGGAATTCTTCTGTGTGCAGGTGCTGGGTCTATGGTGGGCTGTAGTTTGAAACTACTTTCTTCCTTTGACAATACATCTTCAATCTGAAACAGTTTGGGAGGAAAGAAAACCCAGAGGAGGAAAAAAAGAAATAACTTTAAGAGCCATTTTTGAAACTATTCTTGTGGTTTTAATGCACACTGTATGGGTTTCTGTTTATGTACAAGATCTTAACTTATATGTAATTAAAAAAACAAACTACGGGACAAAGGGGCTGTCTTGGCACTAAACATGGTGCTTCTTGATATAATAAGAAACAACATTCTGTGAAATAGTATGTATTCATCAGTATATTTCATTCCCATATGTGAGTTTAAAGAAAAGTGCTTCTAGCTGTGTGTATTGTCCTAACAACATTTTTCAACCGAGCTGGTGGTGATGTCCCTACAAAATGAGCGCAAAAATGCAACTGCTGCTAGATACGCTGCATAAATTAGCTGCACTTAAGCCATGTTTTAGAATAGTATTTCTTAAGGCTGGGAAGCTGCTTAGGGAAGGAAAGTTCATTCAGCCAAGGGAAGGTATAAACTCCACTCTGATTCCTCCCAGTGGGTGCCAGGAAACAAGCTAGTCAAATGCCACCCTCTCCCAACCGACACATTATTATTTCTATCTATTGGAACTAAAAGTATGTATAGACACTTCTGTGACTTCTGGGGACGGGTGCGACACGTTTTATTATGGCGAGTGTTTTTAAAACAATTCTGCATCACTGTTATCTGGGGCCCTTAAAGCATATTGTGGCCAGTATGTCCTTTTGGGGGGAAATATATATTTTAAAGTATCTTTCTAGGCTGAGAAAAGCAAGCATTGCCGATGGAATGGTCAGAGTTCTGTGCACATTCCAGGGGGTACACAGAGCTCTTATGCAAAGAGGATTCTATTCCAGTGAAGGGTGCTTCCGTACATGCATGCCTCCACGTCTATGTCTGGAAGTACTCATGTACATGAAGAATCATCGCAGGTGATGGTGGTGTTTTTCCTAATCCTACTTGGGGAGATACAATACCTGTGACCCTTGGCACAGAGGTTTCATTGAGCAACGGCCTTTCGCTATATATACCTAAGTTCATCAACAACCAGAAAGCAGTAGATGAGTGCCACCTCTGAATGGCAACCAGGAGGGGAAGGAGCCCTGTAGCTTTTGCATGGTGTGTCTGGCGGAGGCAGCTGAGCCATGTGGAGGAGCTCCACATGGTTAGAAGTGCCCTGTAAGTGCCATTGATGACATTGGCTCATAGCTGTGCCTGGCACTGCTGGCCATTCACCAGCAGCCACCTGCATGGTGCTGTGCAAGCTACCCCTTCCCTCAACTGCCTTCAGTAGATACCCAGAGCATGACACCCCCGCTCGTCTTGGTCACTGGCTGCAATTTTCACAGCTCACCACTGCCTAAATCAAGGGTAGGAATTGGCCCTAGCCAGCATGGCCAACAACATCTGTTGGAGCCACTGGTTCCCACCTGGCCTAAATAGATAAATTTTGAATATGGGTAATCTCAGCCAATCAGATGCTCAGCACAAGCAACAGGGATGAGCAACACCTGTTAAGCCCTGCTTGTAACTTCTAGAGACATCTAGCTGGTCTCCTGCTGGAGACAGAGCAATAGACTCCATGGGTTTTAGTCTGAGCCACTAAAGCAATTGCCCTATTCTTAGGCAGCATGGACAGGCAGTTTTTGTCATTGAGGAAAGCTTATTTTGAAAATAAAGCTTCCTTTAGATCAGGGATGAGGAACCTACAGCCTCCCAGCTGCTGTTGGAGTCCTTTCAGTCCTGGCCATCATGCCCAGTGGTCAGAGATGATGGGATCTGTTGTACAGCAGTATTTGAAAGGGTCATAGATTCCCACCCTTGCTGCAGATAATGCCATTTTCAATTGTTCACATCCCCTTGGGAATAGCCTGGCAGCTTATCTTCACACTGTTTCACTACTGACATACCCACTCTCATGAAATGAGTAGCTCTGTGGTTTAACAGTTCTATGTATTTATTAACTTTAAATGTTGTGTATATCTGTACCAGAGACCATTTGTATTATGTGCATATTAGATTCTCAGCAGTCTTGATGTATATTTGTATATTACCTCCTCAATGCCGTGCAATCACTTATGGATTTCTTTTTCTTGCACTGATTAAAATGCCTCTTGTATGATAAATAAATCCTTTCTTGTGGTGATATAGGGTTGAATGTATGTAAATAAAATTAAAAACATTTAAAATGTCAGCTATACAAGCAGTGGCCTAAAAAATAATAATAATCAAGTCTGTACTTGTAGAATAGAACAATTAAGTTGCTGTGACATCTCAAAATGTTCCAGGGATGCAATGTCGGAGAAGGGAAAGTCTTTCCTTGTGATAATATGAAATTGCAAAATTGGATTTCTGTAGCTTTTTATTTTTATTGTTTCCGAGTGGAGAGCCTATCTCTTTTAATGTCTGTAAATCTACCATTATTACTTTTCACTTTGAAGTATATTGTATTGTTAGATGTTTGTTTGAGCTGGTAACATCCTTGCAACTGCTGCAATGTTTCTGTTGGCAACTTGTATATTACTTTGTACACAAGTGTACTGGTAAGACTGTCATTAAAAGTAGCTTCTACCATTAAACTACCTATAGCGGAATAGTACTTCTGTAATAATACCAATGTATTACTACCATACCATATTTTATTTCTTCAGTGTAATTAAACTGTTATTTATTCAAAGTAAAATTATGATTATTTGAATCTGAAACTATGAAATTGTCATGTGGTGTCCCCGGGAGATTCCTTTTTAGATCTCATGTCCAATTTTTCTACTTCCATAACATTTTTCAAACCTCACAGATTTTTAAACACCTGCCCAGATTTCTGAATTCTCATTCCACCAGCATTTCTTTAGGGTATCTTGTGGTATCACGGAGGCAAGATAACAATATCATTAAGAAAAACAAAGCTAGACTTTCTGCCCTTCTCCTGGTTTTAGGGCTATTTCAACTTCCCCTAAACTGAGACTGTGTGCTTATAGGACAAATCTACAAAGCAGGCACACAGTTTTCACATGGCTAGGATTGTCAAAATGGTAATTACTCCTCATGTTAAGTCTGGATCTGAGCATTATTCCACATTTATTTTAAAGGCACAGAGACTTGGCTTAATTGTGCATGGTTCCCAACTGAAAGACACAAAGATGAGCGATCCATTGTGTTTCCATCTGGTCTAAGTGGTACTCATCACATTCTCCATTCAAAGCAAAGGCCAGCTAGCTATTTTCTATCCAGCCAGTATAATTACAGCTCATCATAGTTCCAACTCAATTGCTAACCAGCTTGATATTGCTTCCCTGCTCTGTGCAATTGGCTTAATTACACAAAATCTTGCACAATACAACACGATCTTGGGCTGCTGCTGTTGCAGATCTGAGATAACTGGTTGGAAACCTGTTGCTACTTTAGTGCCATTCATCCTGGGAATGTTTGCAGCAACCTTACTTAGTTTGAAAAGCCCCATGGTTTTTTTGACTGTTGACTTTCAGACTTGTATGTTAATATATAATTGTAGAGTTGGGAGGGACCGTGAGGATCATGGGGCTCAGACCCACGACCCTGAGATTTAAGAGTCTCATGCTCTTTGGCTAGTCCATAAGCATCTCCTGCTTGACTCGGGGAAACTGCAACACAGTAATAAATGCATTGAATCCATAGAGACACATGCGAGCAGGCGGGGAGATGCACTGCTTAGAATACTTAAGTGGTACGCTATACTTCAGGGGTTCCCAATTAGTTAAGTACAGCAGATCCCCCCCCCCCATTTTTCAAAAGCCAAGTCATGGATTTTGAAAATTCTGATATCTCTATGGTAGTTTTGTTATGTGAATGGCACCACAGACCCCCTGGGTGGGTTGTGCGGACCCCAATTGTGTTCTATATGCTATAGTTTAATAGCATAGCCAGGTCCTTGCATGAGAGCTCTGTTCAGCAATTAGTGGAGACTTAATGGCTCTGGTTAGTCATTATCAGCTTATACAAAGTTTTTGGTGGAAAAGTGTTGGTCTTCTTCAAATTACCTTTTTTGTGGAGTCTCCTGAATACCCATGATATCTAGGACTAAATGCAAATGAAGAAGGAAGATAGCAACATACAGTAGCAAGAAAGCTTGCTACAACATCTATCCAACAAGCACCTAGTATTTGATTTGCAAATTGTGCCTCCTGAGCCACATTAACATGTTTAATCAGGACAGGTCATTCATGTAATTCGTTGGAGGACAATCCTATGAAATGGACCGGCCCACAAATCAGATTATCAGTTGACACGGCTGCCTTTGAGCAAGTAGCATAGTCTGAGCACTTCAATAGCTACCCTATAAGGCAAAATATTACCATGGAATAGGGCCTTGATGTTGGCATGAATTAAAGCAATATTCTAAAACGCCATATTAAAGCAAAGTTTTAAAATTCACTGACCAGTCATATGAGGAAATGATATTTTACAAGCTTGCTGCATTATATCTTCCAAGTGAGAGAGAATGTGCAATGGCAGATGCAGGAAATGTCACAAATAAAATGTTAAGCAAGAAGATAGTGAGCCAGCTATTTTTTTCCTGACATATGTACTACACACATATTTCTGGGCTGAGAGTGTTTTGTACAGGAGAATATACATAATATTCAAAAAATGCAACTCTGCCCTCTTTGATCTTGTGGATTCTGGAGTAACCCTTGTGGCAATCTGCCACGTGGGCATCAGGACTGAATATTCACGTGTATTTGTAAGTTCATTTGTTGGCAACTTATGGCACTGGTCATGCTGCATTGGGGTGGGGGGTGGGGAAATGATAAGACAACTGAGCATAGCTCAGTGTAGATCATGTGCTTTGCATCCAGAAGGTCTCAGGTTTTAACACGCATCTCTTATTAAAAGGAACAAGTAGCAAATGAAAGTCTTTTAGCCTGAGACCTTGGAGAGCCACTTCCAGGCAGAGTAGAAAACATTGGTGGGGAACCTTTGGCCTCCCAGATATTATGGAACTACAACTCCGATCAGCTGCAGTTTGCATGGTTAATGGCCAGGGATGGTGGGAACTATAATTCAGCACCATCTGGAGAACCAGAGGTTCCCCATACCTGCAGTAGATGGATTATGATTTGAACCTGAAGGAAGGCAGCTTCCTATGCAGCACAATTCCTACATTCTTACAAGGATATACTAGGACAGACGAAATGAAGGAAATAATTCCGAAGAAAAACAACACCCTGTCATCTGAAAATAAATGAAAATGCCATCTGACACATGAAGAGACAAGCTGTAAAGCCATCAAAGACACTTTCTGCTTACTAGTTCCATAAAGAAAAACGGGGACTCTGGAAACACAACTTATTTTTAATCTTAGGGGCTGGGGTGGGGATGAAGAGCATTACTGAATCTGCATTAGCAATAATGGAAGCGCACAGAAAATGGTCTTAATCCATAAAACAAATGTGTTTTGCAAATGAAATACGCAGAGGGAAATGAACACCCTAATCCTATCAAACATATCACCGGCAGCAGAAGCCACAGAAGCAATGCAATCAACATTTCTGCAACTCAGGCCATGTAATCTAATCCACAATAATTTTCAAGTCGAACTCAAAACAATTAGCTGCTGGAAATCCAAAGCGGCGAAGAGGCATCCTCTCCTGAATCAAAGGCCAAACCACATGTGATGGTAGTGCCTTTAAGTGCAGGACTTCAACAATCAGATATAAAGTGGGCAGGGATGGAGAAACAGTGACCCTCCATGTGTGGTTGGTCTCCAACTCTCATCAGCCCCAGCAAGCATGGCCAATGGTCAGGGATGGTGGGACTGCTGGTCCAACAGGATCTGGACAACCACAGGTTCTCCATTCCTATGTGTGGATAGTAATGAAATCACCAGAGGGGTGCATGGTTGGGTCATGTGTGTTTGGATCCATCCCTCAAGTTCTTTTCTCCAAAGCTGGGCTCCTATAGCAAAAGGTAAAGCCTGCTGGAAGAAAAGCAGCGGGGAGGGGGGTGGTCATGTATGCAACAAGAAATACGGTACATGAAGGTCTGCCTCAGAGAAACATGCCCATTCTCCTTCAAGGCACTAGCTTCACTGGAGAAAAATTAGTGGGGCAAATGGCTTCAGCACAAGAAGAGAGGAAGAAAAGTAAAATGGCAGCCCAATCCAAAGCATGTCCCCCTCAAAATAAGCCCCACTGAATCTAATATTTATTTCTTGACATCCCACCTCTCTCCCAGTGCAAGGCCCAAGGTGGCTCACCACATAAGCTAAAGCAGATACAGCTCAAAGCATACATATTAAAAATTATACTTAAATAAGCAACCCTACTGAAAAGAGCACTGAAAACCATTTAAAAGCACCTAAACAAAAACGAGCAGCACCCACTCTTAGAAGGCCTTGCTTCAAACCAGGCAGGTGCATATTGAATTTGAATTATCAGAGGCCACATCATCCTCGCCATCTGTACACAGATCAGGGACTGCACCTGATGCCACAGAGGTAAGTTGCTGGTCCAATACTTAATTCAGACAAGAATTTTCAGTCTTCAAGCTTGAGTTCCTCTAAGTGGAAGCTGAAGGTACTAAATAGCATCATTTCACAGATGGAAGGCCTTTATCCATTACCATATGTCAGAGATTTCTAGAGCTTCCTCTAACAACCAAACAGGCAAGGATCCTTAGCCTTCTCCATATCTATATGAACACACACCCCTGATTCTACTGCAAAAAGAAGGGGGGGAAGCAGCTTTCACATTCATGCGCTGTTCTTGCTCATTTACAATCTGTCCAAATCTTGCTGATTATGAGAGGTTTTTAAATAGTTGCTTGTGGTATCTAATCTTAGACTCTAAATCAGCTGGCCTCTGCTTAACAGTTGCTCCTTACTGCTGAATGTGAAATGATTGGGCAAATTCCTTGGAAATATGTTGTCTATCTCGGTAGTGGCGCCTTCCCTGTGGAACACCCTCCCACCAGATGTCAAAGAGAACAACAACTACCAGGCTTTTAGAAGACATCTGAAGGCAGCCCTGTTTCGGGAAGCTTTTAATGTTTGATGTATTATAGTATTTTAATATTCTTTTGGAAGCCGCCCAGAGTGGCCGGGGAAGCCCAGCCAGATGGGCGGGGTATAAATAATAAATTATTATTATTATTATTATCTATCCCTAGGGCTGAGATTTTATTTTGTTTTTTTAGACAATGAACCACTGTAGAGCATGAGGAAATAGCAAAATATTTATAACTGAAATATGAAGCTGAAGTGCCCCTCTGGGGCATCTGTGTGTATGAAATACCCTTTGCAAGAAAAAACTGTTAAACTGACCACTAGCTTTTGTCTTTGGCATAATTTTGTCTGTTGCTGATGGGTCAACCTCACAAAGCTCTTTTTCCTCCTCCTCCTCCATCTGCTTCCCTGTTTATGATTTTCTCTCTTGATAAAGTGCATCATTTGAAGGGAGCCCTCTCCTGATACTTGGGTTGCAGAAGCAGCCCAGAATATCTCATGTATCGGCTAAATACATTGTCCTCATTATTGTTGTGGTTATCATGCAAGCCTTGATGCAAACTATTCTTGAAATTTAATGGCCTGCCTTCATATTATTGATGAGACAAACTGATAGCTTTTAGAGTAGGAGGAAATAGGAACTTAGGCTGGGAAACAAAAGGAAGTACTCCATCTGCCTAAAGCCATAATGGCTGAGCATCCAGCAAAACAGTCTCCGTA